GTATGTATATCATAGTTTTTATGCAATTTACAAGTGGAGGGACTCAATTTGTCTAAATTCTTTTAGTTACATGATGATATTATCAATTCCGAACCGATTTATATAATTCCTCCTATAATCGACACTTTTGGGCCTATATTAATATTGTAACAATTGAAATAGCTGCTTTATTTGCGGAGCAAAAAACTGTTTATTGCTAATGAAAATATTTTTTTATACTACTAAAGTGGCAAACAAGGATAAGGCTATGATAACTCCGTTTACCACAAAAAAGAGGCCATCCTTTTTTATGGTAAACGTAAACGGAATGTCACTCGCGTTATCGTACGCCCTTTTTGAACAATCCCATATGGACTTCCCTCGTTTCCTAATGAGATTATTACACAGCCTCAATGTGGTAACCGTCGCCTATGAACATGAGCAGTACCATGGACATAACAGAGTGTACTGGTTCGCCCATGATATCCCCCATGCGTTGCCATTCCTAAAGACTCAGGTGTTATTCCTCTGTACCCTGTAAATTCACGCCAAGAACACCATTCTGGTTTGAGAATGGATTCTCTGCCGAGCATTACGATGGTGAAAGGTGGTCGTAGGCATCATATTGAAGAGTTCTTCAGAACACAATCTGACAATCTACTTATAGTCACAGGATTTCTGATTCAATTAAAATCGAATATGTTCAATATAATGTATCTATGAAACATCTCGTCGTTCATCGGTGAATTTTTTGACCTATGAAGTTACTTTTTGCAGAGCAAAATGTGTCTACTTTTTAATTTGATAAAGAACCCTCAAACTAACGTCATTGAACTACTCTGAAACACCTTCCGAGCTCCCACACTCGACATAAAAATAAAAGGCAAACTATATTCCAACCACTTTCAACAGCGAACGTGAATAAGTAGAAGATGTACTAAGAATTATAATGTTATTATAGTTAATTATATTTTGGAATAAAAACATTTTAACTATTTCATATTGGATCATATTCAAATATTCATCATCATGATTTTATCAGCCATTGTCAGTCCATTATGTCAGTCTCTACAATGTATGCGAGGTCACCTTTCCTAGAGAGGGATTGTTTTATACTAAATTTGCCTGTACCGTACGGGAAGAAAGATACGGGTATTTTTTTTTAATATTTAATTTATAATTTAATTATTAAGTGTGAAAATGGAATGGTAACCCCGCCCGCGCTATCGGTATACACTGAAGAGGCACCATTGGAAGATGATAGGCCAACTGACCTGCATTCATTCTCCCCTCATGATAAATTCGACAAGAACTAACCATGATGGTTTTCAGGGAGAACCGCGTGGAGGTCGACCTGAGAGGGTCAATTGCTAGAACCGGGGCTATTAGACCTCAGTACTAACAATCACTTTCCCCCGCAGATACGGGTATTACATTATGATAGGCTAACTGACCTGCCTTTTCATTCTTATCTATCATCCTTCACTGGTGCCTGCAAGCGTATGTATATATATATATATATATATATATATATTGTATACTCCTTAGAATGGCAAAAAAGCTGACGACCCACCTGATGGAAAGTGATAATCGTCGCCTATAGACATGAGCAGTACCATGGACATAACAGAGTATACTGTTTCGCCCATGATACCTCCCATGCGTTGCCATTCCTGAGGACTCAGGTGTTATTCCTCTGTACCCAGTAAATTCACGCTATATCCCACCCTTCAAACCGAAACACAGTCATGCAAACACAACTGCTTCACGGTAGAAACACGAATGGGTACGTTAACGTAGGTGGGATTCCATTCCATTATCATCCATTAAAAAAAAAAGAAGACATCGTTTATATTTGTGACTAATTTCATTCTAGTTTGTCATGTAGCCCAGTTCATTATAGTATTAACAACAATAACAAGTAGGTATTTTGACCTCTATGATATTTTAGTACTAGGCAGAATAGCTTTTAGGGCTAAAATAAAATTATTTCTGGAGATCGACTTAATATTTATCATCATCATCCTATTTTCTCCTACTCATCTTCGACTATTTATTGAAATTAAATTTAAATATTAGCTGTACTTTGTACAAAAGTCGATAAAATATTTCTGAACTAGAAGTCAAAATACCTACTTGTTATAGTGCTCTGTCCCATTCGTGTTCTCAACATGGTTCATGTTATGACAACCACTACCATCAGAGATATTAATGTGTTTGATAGGTAATGACTGTGTTTCGGTGCACATAAAATAAAACCGTTTAACTTAAAAGTTTTTTTACCGATTTTTATTTTCTTGTTTTTAGTATTTAGTGAAATTGCGAATATGAATTCTATTTAATTCATTCAGTGCATCATTATTACATGGTTTCTTACCTGATAATTTAACAATCTGAGTCCTTCAGAAATGACAACTTGCATGGGTGTTGCCTTGCATTTATGGGCGAAATGACAAATATACATCCTTTTTTGTACCATATATCCTTTAGGGTAAATAACGTGCACTGCTCATGTCTATAGGCTGACGGTTACCACTTTCCATCAGTGTGGGTCCACAGCTTGTTTGCCATTATATGTCTTGTATAGTGTCTAGTGTCTAGTGTTTAAAAAAAGAACATCGTCTGTGTAGTAAATTTCCATATTAATAATATTTAACCATCTGTTGCTCGCGGCTTCACATGAATGGTGTCATATTTAGTGTTTAAAATAGAAATTTTCTAGTGTTTAAAAATCGAGTGTCGAGTGTTTTTAGTCAAGTGTCGAGTGTCGAGTGTCATTACATAAACATGTTGTCAAATATCTAGTGTCTTGTTCTGGTGTTTTGGTGACTTAGTAGTTTTAATTGAACGTTCAATGTCAGACATGACAAACTATTTTATAAGTATATATAAAAGTCATTAGGCAGTGTCTGTCTTTTCTGGGTGTCTAAGATTGAGATTCCATGGACACTAGTGTTTTATTGTCGAGTGTCGAGTGTCGAGTGTCGAGTGTCTAGTGTCTGAGTGTCGAGTGTCTGAGTGTCTAGTGTCTAATGTCTCCATATGTTTCATATGTCGTTGGTAACTTTGTTGCATATAAAAGTGTCTGAAGTATGAGAGTACACGATAAAGACTACATGTCTGAGTGTCTAGTGTCTATCACTGCACTAGCATGTTTGAAACAATCACCTATGGTGTTTAGTGTGAGTTGACGTGTCGAGTCTAGTGTCTATTAGCAAGTGTCTGAGTGTCTTGCAAAGTGTCTTGTTTGCAATTTCAAATCTTATATCTAAAGTGTCTGAGTTAAAATACACAGTGTCGAGTGTCCTTGTGATTCACGTCGAGTGTGATTCTTGTCTAGTGTCTGGTGTTTAGTGTCTGATTGTCGGTCTCTGATGGGTCGTTCTGTGTGAGTCTAGTGTCTGATTCGATTTAGTGCTGGAATCAGTGTCTAGTGTTTCATTTCTGACTTCTGATATCGTTTCACGTTTAGAAAATTGACGCGAGTGTCGAGTGTCTAGTGTCTAATTTATTGTCTAATTCATAGTTTGAATTTAAATTTCAGTTAGTGGAAATGTTAGTGTCTGTGTCTCTGAGTGTTTAATTATAAGTGTCTGAGTGTCGAGTGTTGTTGAAGTGTTTCGAGTGTCCGACTTTGAAACAATTTTAAAGTGTCAATTTTATTAAATACTGAGTGTCTTGTAGAATGATTCGCTGAGTGTCTAGTGTCTAGTGTTTAAAGATGTTAATGAAGGTATGTTTATAATTCTAGTGTTAATTATTATATTGTATTGTATTGTAAAACCTTTATTGTCTTGTATATAGTGTCTGTGTGTCAGGGTCTGAGATATATCTGAGGGTCTAGCGTTTGAGTGTCTAGTGTCCGAGTGTCTAGTGTCTGGGTGTCTATCTATTATTTGATACCCATATTTGTGGTTGTGGAAAAATATGTACCTAGTCCGCCATATTGGAACGGCGTCCATCTTGAATTTTAAATTTTAACATAATCATCGTGTTTTTTTTTAAGGAAAAATATGTAATCCGCCATTTTGTATCGGCGGCCATCTTAGATTTATAATGTTATTGATTTTATTATATTGTATTGTCATCTAAATTAAATGTGTGTACCAAATTTCAGATCAATCTGATGGAAAGTGGCGAATTTCTAATTTTGCCAAATAAATAAATACCGTACAGGTCGAGCTAAATAAAACCGTTTAAAAAAAAAAGAAGACATCGTTTATATTTGTGACAAATTTCATTCTAGTTTGTCTAGCCCTTTATAGTATTAACAACAATACGTATGATATTAGTAGGACCAATACAATTATTGGAGAAATATTTAAATTCTATTTTCCCTACTCATCTTCGACTATTTATTAAAATTAAATTTAAATATTAGCTGTACTTTGTACAAAAGTCGATTGCTCGAGTACCTCTGTCCCATTCGTGTTTCAACCGTGAAGCAGGTGTGTTTGCATGACTGTGTTTCGGTTTGAAGGGTGGGATATACTCAGGGTACAGATAACACCTGAGTTCAGAAATGACAACGCATGGGGGGTATCATGGGCGAAACAGTATACTCTGTTATATCCACGGCACTGCTCATGTCTATAGGCGACGGTTACCACTTTCCATCAGGTGGGCCATCAGCTTGTTTGCCATTATAAGTTGTATAAAAAAAAAGAACATCGTCTGTGTAGTAAATTTCCATATTAATAATATTTAACCATCTTAATGAAGTTTAGTTTTTAAATCTAAAAAAACTTTTTTAGCAACCCCATTACATACACACAATATTAGCTTTTCAGACTTAGTAGTTTTAATTGAACGTTCAATGTCAGACATGACAAACTATTTTATAAGTATATATAAAAGTCATTAGGCACTTCTTTTTCCCAGATTATTCCATGGACACGTTATCTTAAACATGCCCTCTCCATATTTTCATATGTCGTTGGTAACTTTGTTGCATATAAAAGTAAGTATGTACACGATAAAGACTACACCTACACTGCACTAGCATTTTGAAACAATCACCTATGTGGGTTTGACGTGCTCTATTAGCAACTGCAAATGTTTTTGCAATTTCAAATCTTATATCTAAAGCGTTAAAATACACATTCCCTTGTGATTCACTCTTGATTCTTGCAGCGAAGTTGATTGCGGTCTCTGATGGGCGTTCTGTGTGATACCTATTCGATTTAGTGCAATCAGATTGCCTGTCATTTCTATTTGATATCGTTTCACGTTTAGAAAATTGACGCCTCCTAATTTATTGTGATTCATACTTTGAATTTAAATTTCAATTAGGAAATTTATGTTCTCTTTTAATTATAACCTTGTTGAATTTCGCCGACTTTGAAACAATTTTAAAGTGTCAATTTTATTAAATACTGGAGAATGATTCGCGCTGCTAAAGATGTTAATGAAGGTATGTTTATAATTCTTAATTATTATATTGTATTGTATTGTAAAACCTTTATTGTATATACTTTACATTAGATATATTAAAAAGATTATTAAATCTTTTATCATTGTGTTGGAAACACCAACAATTTTTTTTTTATACAACTTAGAAATGGCAAACAAGCTGGCGGCCCACCTGATAGAAAGTGGCGACCGTCGCCTATAGACATGAGCAGTACCATGGACATAACAGAGTATACTGTTTCGCCCATGATACCCCCCATGCGTTGCCATTCCTGAAGACTCAGATGTTATTCCTCTGTACCTGTCTGTGATAAAAACAATTTACTTACGAATTGTTCTCATAGAAATTATATTAAAATAAACTTAATAGTTTAGTTTTTAAATCAAAATAACGGATTACACACAATTGAAGTAGATTTTTTTATGTAGTCTTTTTTTTTTATAATAAACAATCTGACGACCCAACTGATGGAAAGTGACAACCGTCACCTGTAAATATGAACAATATCATGTTTTATGTTACTGTACCTTGTAATTTCTACAGTTAGTTTACGATACGAGTGGGACAGATGTACCCATGTACACGACTTTTGTACAAAGTCTCCCTCTATTTAATCACTAGATATTTTCAATAAGACTGGAATATTAGAATTTACTCAATTAATATTTATTTTTAATTTTCTTTTATTTATTCGACTTCCATTTATCAGCGTCCCTTCTAAAACATCACTAAAGTCTAACTGTTTGCCAATCATATTTTCCCTTTTGAGAGTTGCATAAATAATCGACTATCACCAGCAAGTTTGCCATTCTAAGTCTTTCTAGATGTTTATGGAAATTCCAAGTTTAATAATTTTCCTGCGACACGACTCCTAGAAATCTAAGGAGCTATTAATTATTCATCCAAAACACTTAGTTACAATTTACAATACTAATGCAATACCCAACCCTTAGACTATCTTAAAGTCAAAAGCAAATAAATGTTTGTATGTATAATTAAACTCATAGTCAAGGGGCAATTATTCCATTAATATTATATTAATAGTCATTATATCAATAGACTGTAGTATTCCATAGTTTTATTTGTTAAAATTAGTAATAATTGTTTCGGATATTTTATAATCTATTTTTTTGTGAATCAGATTACATTAAATTTATCTTTACGATATAAATTCTAGTAACAAATATTTAAAAAAAAATTATAAACATTCAAATAAACTTAAAAACTTATAATAATATTACGTTTAAAACTAGTTTTTTTTCTTGCAATGAAATGTAGTTTGAAGAATTGAAAACAAAACCAGTCAAGCGTGAGTTGAACTAATTCACTGAGGATTCCGTATATAAAATAGTCTCTGACAAGGTTTCTCTTTTCTTTAGATAGAAAGATATTTGTATATGTTGTACACTCGCCGTTGCTTTAAAAAGTTACAAAAATATTAAGAGAAATAAAAACTATTATTCACTATAAGACCAACGTATTAGAATTAGCATAAAACGCCAAAAGTCGATCTGTTTAGGATATTTATATTTCTCTGTGAGAACATTATATCGCAATCTTAACAACTCCATCTGTCGGCTAAATATAGAACTAAAAATTGATTGAAAAATTAAACATACATAAAGTACGTAAATCGTTTTTAAGAGGGACGCTACTGTCCATCCCTCGAATATTAAATTTCCTTAGTTGCCCCTTACGGCACCCATGGAGAACAAAGTAGTGGTCCATTCTATGCCGGAACCACAAGGCCAAGACATTCATATAGAATTGCATACATCAAATTCTTATATACACACACTTGGATTTTTTTTTTTGTATACAACTTATAATGACAAACAAGCTGACGGCCCACCTGATGGAAAGTGGTAACCGTCGTTCATAGACATGAGCAGTACCATGGACATAACAGAGTATACTGTTTCGCCTATGATACCCTCCATGCGTTGCCATTCCCGAGGACTCAGATGTTATTTTAATTAAGTTAATTACTGTACCCTGTAATTTCACTGCCATATCCCACCCTTCAAACCGAAACACAGCACTGCAAACACAACAGCTTCACAGTAGAAACACGAATGGGACAGAGGTACACAAGTAAATGACTTTTGTACACTTGAAATATTTTTCAATAATTGATATTCGTTTGATAAAACAACGATAATTAAATATAACATTAATTTAGTTTTGTATAAGATTTATTGTTAATTATTCTAAAAAGAAGTAAGAAAAAGGAAATGAGTAAGTAATTACAAGATCTAAAGCAAACCTAATTACACCAGGCAATTAACAAAACAAGCGCTTTGTTTATTTCTAATTATCGTTTGATTAGATGCAGTTTGACTCTATTTTGCGACTAATTATGTGGAAATTCAATAATTTACGTAGGTGTGTATATACCTATATACACACACACACACACATACACACACACACACACACACACACACACACACACACACACACAGACACACACACACAATATATATATATATATATATATATATATATATATATATATATGTATTAATTTTAGTAATATTACATTAATTTATAAAAAAATACATTTTCATTTGTACAGCACTTAGAGCTGGACTACACATACACACACATACGCGTGCACGCACATCTCTCTCTCTCTCTCTCTCTCTCTCTCTGTGTGTGTGTGTGTGTGTGTGTGTGTGTGTGTGTCAAGAAATACATGTATGTACATATTTTAATCTATTTTCTATGTCTTTTGCTAAATAAATGTAGTGATATAAGAAAACTTGTATGTTATAAGTAGTGCTGTGTGGTTCTGTCATAGAATGGGCCATCTCTCCCTTTCCCGCGGGTGTTTTAAGAGGCGACTAAGGCAACTTAATAGATAGATAGATAGATAGATAATTTATTTGCATTACTTACAGCACACAAATTACAACATATATAGATATACATAAATAATTTAAAAAAATACATAAAGCTAAATACAATTTTTCGTTTGTGCGTGTGCCATAACAATACAAAATGGTCACAACTCAGTTTAGTTGAAAGCTAGCCTCTAATGGTTGAAGCAAGCATCTGTTGTGAAGCAGTTGTGTTTGCATTGCTGTATTTCAGTTTCAAGGAAATTACCGAGTACAGAGGCATAATATCTAATATATATTCTCAGGAATGGCAATGCACGAGGGGTACCATGGGTGACACAGTATAATCTGTTATATCCACAGTACTGTTCATGTCTATAGGTGGCGATTACCACTTTCTATAGGTTACCTAGGGTACCACAATGTACAAATATCAGATACTTGGATACCATTGCTCCAAGTAGATGATATTTGCCCAAAAAAATATATAAGTACTTCATAATATTATTGAACAAAAGTCGATTGCTTGGGTACCTCTGTCCCATTCGTGTTTCTACCGTGAAGCAGTTGTGTTTGCATGGCTGTGTTTCGGTTTGAAGGGTGGGATATGGCGTGAATTTACAGGGTACAGAGGAATAACACCTTAGTCCTCAGGAATGGTAACGCATAGGGGGTATCATGGGCGAAACAGTATACTCTGTTAGGTCCATGGTACTGCTCATGTCTATAGGCGACGGTTACCACTTTCCATTAGGTGGGCCGTCAGCTTGTTTGCCATTATAAGTTGTATAAAAAAAACTATTTCATCAGTAAGTATGTCTAGCAATTGAATTGAACGCTATATATGGCAATAGGATCGTGTGGCACGAACACAATCAATGCAACTGTCCACATTTCACACTTAGGTACAAAGCGAAGTGCATAGCCTCACCTATTTATTCTCTATTTGGTTGCCTTTGCACCAGTAGTCTGTCTTTATATCTAGACACTGCAGTATACTGTGTTGTTGATTTGTCTTTTATTATTAATATTCTTTTTTTCTTTTTTACATTTGACAGTTTACTCTTGTGTTAATTTTTATTGCGATTTAAGTCATTACTTTTAAGAGAGTTTCAAATTAATTTCCCATTTTGTTTCATTTTTCTTTTTCTTTTAATCTTAAATTCTAATTTCAATTTTGTTTCTTTTACAATTTAGATTTATATTCTATTATTTTTTTTTTCTTTGAACCTTTATTGTATTTTATGAAATTAATATTTCAATTATTAATTGTGTTTTGTGTTTTCTTTATTCAAATCAGTTTATGTTATGTTTTGATTTAATGTTAATATTTAAATGTATTTATATATAATTTACTGGATTTGAATTTATTAATTAATAATATATTTTCATGTGTAAATAAAGCTTTATATTTCGCAATTCTGGTCAATTATTTTCGAAATTAATAGAGTTTACTACCGTGTTGGTAAATTATTAATTATTAGTTTTGTGGGTATTGAAATTACAGTTTTTTTTTTTGCTCAGCAAATTCATAAGTATTTATTACAGTGACAATGTTGAGAAAGAACGTTCTCGGTACTTCGCAAGAAGAATTTTACGGTTTGATATTTTATTTCTATCTATCTATCTATCTATCTACTCGTATCTTCACGCTCAGATCCTTGCGGGGTAGGCAGAGAGAACCTAATTTTTTTGCTTTCATTTTTGCATTTCCATAACTCGTCTCTTATGTACGTACGCTGGTCTTGGAGCATTTTACCTCTCTCTTATTTTAACTAATATATAGGAATTCTTACTATTTATAAATTTGATTGAAATTTACTTTGGTTATTTGTTACCTTGGATATTGATACCTTAATCGCCCAATCAGTCGTCATGAGGTCTAATTTATATATATATATATATATATATATATATATATATATATATATATATATATATATATATATATATATATATATTCTTCATTGCACTTGTAAGTTACATATAAATACTTACTTTACTATATGTTTAATATTATAAAGAAGAAAGATTTGATTGTTTGCTTGTTTGTAATGAATAACCTAAAACTATTCAACCGATTTAAAAAAAGGCTTTTTCTTATATAAAATTACATTATCAGCGTGTTTTTTTTTATGCAACTAAGAATGGCAAATAAGCTGACCGCCCACCTGATGGAAAGTGGTAACCGTGGCCTATAGACATGAACAGTATCATGGACATAACAGAGTATATACTCTTTAGCTCATGACACCCCCATGCGTTGCCATTCCTGAGGACTCAGGTGTTACTCCTCTGTACCCTGTAAATTTACTACCATATCGCACTCTTCAAACCGAAACACAGCCATGCAAACACAACTGTTTTATGGTAGAAATACGAATGGGACAGAAGTGTCCAAGCAAATGACTTTTGTACAAAATCTCCTTCTGGTAAATATCTTAATAACATTTCTTCGAATATTCTATCTACCTGTGTGAAGCTAAGCCGGAATATTGGTATACTCGTATTATAAATAGGGACTTTTTTGTTTGTAATGGATAATCTAAAATACTTAACCGATTTTTAAAAAAACCTTCACAATAGTAGTCAATCTTCAAATATTGGCAGTCGCACACATACTCATGAAAGCGGAATTGAACAAAATAATTCTAGTTGACTGACCATTATAAATTATGAATATATTGGTAAAAAAAAAGAAATTGGTAGAAATCTTAAAAGAAAAATATAAAAAAAAATATGTATGTATATATATATTTTTACAGTAGCATTTTGCTCTTTTTATTTGATTCCCCAAAGTATTTCATCTTTGATATTCGAATCATTTAATTTTCTTTGATATTTGACTGGCAATGCAGACATTTAGAGCAACCTTTTTGATAAATATCTCTCTGTAGTCAATGAATTCGTTTATATAAAATACTTTTTGTTTTATATATAAAAATATATTATATATTACATAAAATAGATACTTATGTATACATATATATAATAATTTTATCTTTGTTTTATCCTATCAAACCAAAATCATATGTTAAGTATTTTTAAATATAAATATTGATTTTTAAATGTGTCTCAGTTTGTATGTTAGTGTTTCAAAATATGTGTTGACAAAATATTTACAATACATGTATATATATATATATATATATATATATATATATATATATATATATATATATATATATATATATATATATATATATATATAACTAATACATTTCACAGAATCACAAAAAAAAAGTTATGATCAGTCCCATTCACGATCCGTACCCGACCCAAAGGTCCCCATGACACTTGCGGCATTTCCGCGTTGGATTGCCAGAGATATCTTTTGAGCCAGCCTATATATATAAATGTATAGGCTATAAAGTTTTAAAAACTGCCCCCTAAGGAATAGTTGTGTGTGTGTGTGTGTGTGTGTGTGTGTGTGTGTGTGTGTGTGTGTGTGTGTGTGTGTGTGTGTGTGTGTGTGTGTGTGTGTGTGTGTGTGTGTGCGTTCGTGTGTTTTTTACATTAATCATCACCTATATCTATACATATAGTAAGTGTATGTTTTATATTACTGACCAGACTTCATTCTTGCCATTTTCATCTTTCACTGGTACCTCATCATTGTATCGACACCATAAGCGGGTTTCCATTCCGTTTTCATCTTTTGAAAAAATGCTTATTTCCATATGTGCATCTCTCTCTCTCTCTCTCTCTCTCTCTGTATGTGTGTGTGTGTGTGTGTGTGTGTGTTCATATTTTTTATCAGGATTGATATCACTGTTTCATTTTCCGAAACAAATTCATAAAAATTAAACATTTTCAAAACTAAAATTCAAAAATGTAATACGACGACACATTTCCACCGACACAGCAGCAGCCGAGTGCTTTTGAAAGCAAATTGGTGTCTATTGTGACCCCAACAATGGATTTAACTGAAAACGACAGGGTATAGAGCTTTGCATACGTGCTGCAAGGGTTTGTTAGCGGAGAATAGGATATCTTGAGACGTTTGTCGAAACCACTCTAGAATTGGTATTGTCTGACGCAACGGCAAAATATATGCATGGACACTGATGTATAAATTGCATAATAGCAAATCATATTATTTCCTACCATTCGCATGGAAATTGTTTCGTTATTAAAAAAGCAATATGTCAGTTGGAAATTTTCGAATCTCATTTAATTGTGTACGCAGTTAATTCCCAATATGACGGTAATGAAAATTCCTGGACATTTTAATTATTCCTGATATTATTTATATTACGACTTGTAATGACTTGAAAAAAAAAAATATAATAATAGAAATTATTAAAAAAAAACAAGGACAATAACCTTATTGTGTGGTTGTGGTATGCAATAGGTCACCCTTTCCTTTCCCGTGGGTGATGTAAGAGACGACTAAGGGAGAGCGAGGGTTGAGTAGCAGCGTCCCTCTTAAAACATCTCCAAAGCCTAACTGCGGTTGCCAATCCGCTTGCCACTACTGGAAAAACCCCCTAAGGGGAGGCTTATGTTCAGCAGTGAATGGTTAAAGGCTGATATGATGATTAAAATAACTTTATTGTTTATAGTACATCATACCATCCAAAATTGACGGTTACAAATGAAAATGCAACTTCGTATGCATTTTCCTAACGTTTTTCCAGACATCGTAGTGCTGTGTGCATTGTCAAGTTTCAAGTCTTTTGCAGATAAACTGTATCTACAGTATATCAAACTTTACGCTACGATAATTCACAATAATGACAGAAAAGAAACCCTTATACTATTAAAATATGGTTTTCCACAAATAAAACCGATTTAAATTTTTTTTACAATACACGGGGCAAATGAGCATGCAGCTCACCTGATGGTAAGTGACTACCGCCGCCCATGATCGCCCACAACACCAGCAGCATTGCAGGTGTGCTGCCATCCTTTTAAAAAGGAATATACTCTTTTCTTGAAGGTTATGATGTCGTGTCGGTTCGGAAATACTTTTGCTAGAAGTTATTATGATTTAAAATTTGAACTACTGTACTTATTTTGATAAGATTTCTCTGGGACTAATTTGTAAGTACCTCCTTACAAATAAGAAAAAATCTAAATAGATTTATTACTCAGCGAGTAATTAAATTTTTCATTCCTATTTAAGAGCTGCACTCTTGTCGGTGGAGCTCTTGCCACTCACTAAAATTTTCAGCGAGTCTCTTCACCTCTTGATACGACACAACACCAACCAACAATCACCACCAACACCTTGATCTGCCTGAAGTAACCACGCCAACTTTTGCCTTGTTCTGCCTAATATAATTATGCCTTGACCAGGTCTCCCCGTTCCTCTCCTTCCTTCTATCTTTCCTTCATGTTCATAAGTTTGTCGTGTCGTATCAAGTGTCCTAACATTTGTTCATTTCTACCCTAAATAGTTTTTTTTTTTTTTTATAATTTGTCTCTTTTCCTCAACCCTAATTAGTAGTAATAACATAATAAACATAAAAAATTACAACCTCAGATTCAGAAACAATAAATTCGGAAAAATCCAACCAATTTTAAAAATTATTTCACACTTAAAAAAACTGCATTATCAGCGTGTAATACAGGCTTTATATTATCTTATAAAATTCTATCAACCCGTGTGAAGCCGGGCTGGATACCTAGTCTAAACTAATTACGATTGTTCCAGAGAGAGTACTGTACGCTAGGAACAAGTTGTTAGCTGGATCTAAACCAGCTGTTGTTGGTGGGAAACCAATAACAGAAGAAGTAGCCAACGTGAGTATGGTCAATCATCATTATATCAGCATGTCCACTGCTGAACATAGGCCTCGATTACCTTCAGATTCATCATCTACTCAAGACCCAAGAAGTATTTTACCAGGAATATATAGAAAGCTGTGGCCGTATGGTCCCGGCATAGAATAGGCCAGCCCTTACTATCGCGTGGGTGTCGTAAGAGCTGGTATGAGCTAAGGAGAGCGAGGTATTGGCAACAGCGTTCCTCTTAAAACATCTCTAAAGCCTGACTGCGGTTGCCAATCCGCCTGTCAAATGTGGCAATTACTAGAATCCCCCAAGGGGGAGGTTTATATTCAGCAGTGGACAGTTAATTGCTGACTTGATGATGAAGATGTATATAGGAAGAGCATTTCATTCCCTAACAGCATTATGCATTTTTTTTTCTAGGAGCTTCGGGTTGTAACATTCGGTTCAGCGTCTTGCCCACCTCGAGGGGAATGGGTTCGAACCCCACTGACTATGAGACCTCCAGATCAGACACTGGGGTACGGATTGTCTGCACCAAGGAATGGCGCTAGAGCATTATTATCTGGTCTCCAAGCTCATATAATCAAGTGGTTGCTCTTCGACTCCCGGCCAGCGACTAAGGACAATAAGTCTGCTTTGCCTCCTGATACGTAAGTATATATCATTAATTCAGTATTAAAACAACATAGTAGAATGGTGCTTGTGAAAATGGGTGGATGAAGAAACCAGGAGAGACCTATTGTCAGAGAGAATATTTTAGCTTAAGAAAAGGTCGAGTCTTTGGAACAGACATGCCTCCAGAAGACATGTCGTGAAAATACATGAAGTAAGATTTCTGTGTAGGTATTTTTTTTTATGGATGCAAATGGCATGGTAACCCTGCCTGCGCCATCGGTATACATTGGCGAGGTACCAGTAAAGGGTGATAGGTGAGGATGAAATGGGGATGAAATGGATGAAAGGGCAGATCAGTCAGGCCATTGTGAAAAATTCGACAATAAATTAGTCACGGTAGTTTCTAGGGAGAATCACGTGGAGGTCGACCTGTAGGGTATGTAGGTATAGAGAATATTTCTATAGTATTTTCTCGCTTTACTCTGCAAGGAAACTGAATTTGTTCAAATCTTTTCAAATCTTATTTCTTATTTCAAATCTCTATTCAGATCTTAGGGTTTGAATAGATTAGCCCTTACGAAATTTGAGGCCTTTTATAATACACATCTTTAATTGATGTATAAGATATCGCATATAACTTTGTGCATTAAAAAATGGTCCATAAAACGGTCCGTTGACGCTATCTTTTAGCTCACGTATATTGTTTTTAAATAAAGCGCGCCCGATATTTTTCAGTGTTGCAAGTAATTTGATTAAAAAATTCCCCGAATCAAATTGATTGTTTTTTCTTTCAATATGAATTGGTATCTAGTTTTATGATATAATATTTTTATATTTTTTACAAATTAATATACTGGTTATATTAATTAAAATGACAGCCATTTCAATGGATTTTTAAGACGAATAGATATTTTAAATGTATTATTGTTAAATAGATTAATATATTAGATCCACAAAGGAATCAAAATAACCGACAAAGCCCGAAGGATATGCAGGGGGAAGTGACAATACATAGCTCGAAGAACCGACAATTGACGGGGAGTAAAGGTTCTTGAGTGGTGACCCCGTACGGGCAAACGAAATATTGAACGACCTCCACTAATAGGAGTGACGACTTCAAATGAATTGCAGGGAGTCGGTGGATGCAGGTGGCACAGGACCATTCCTTATGGCAGTTTATGGAGGAGATCTATGACCAGCAGTGGACGGATAATGGCTGAAATTGAATGATGGTGATGCTTTGTTATTATTTCAGACTATCTAGCGATAATGATGACCTTATACATACAGTTGTTGTTGTTTTAAAATTCGTCCAAATCGGACAGGCCAAGAACATGACTTGTACAGCCTAGTCATATGATATTATTTTTTCTTCATAAATGGGCAGACAATTTATTCGTAATTTTTTTTTATATAACTTAGAATGGCAAACAAGCTGTCGGCCCACCTGATGGAAAGTGGTAACCGTTGCCTATAGACATGAGCAGTACCATGGACATAACAGAGTATACTGTTTCGTCCGTGATACCCCTCATACGTTGCCATTCCCGAAGACTCGGGTGTTATTCCTCTGTACCCAGTAAATTCACGCCATATCCCACCCTTCAAACTGAAACACAGCCATGCAAACACAACTACTTCACGGTAGAAACATGAATGGGACAGAGGTATCCAATCAATCGACTTCTGTACAAATTCTCCCTCTGGTAATGGTTTATACAGTATTCGTAAAAGTTGTAAGCAAAATCACCGTTAATGTACATATTTCTACATACATTTACAGCTGATATAATTCTCAATTTAAATATTTTACCTCGCGGGAAATAAAAACGTTCTTTATTTAAATTTTTAAACTTTCAATGCTCGGTAATTTTTTTTTTAAAGTGTTGCCCTGAGAGCTCGGCCCCAGAATTTGTTCCGCGAACAGCTTGAAAATGCCGATCATAACTTTCTAACCTGCCTGCCTTCGGTATAAATCTACACTATGCACCGTTCGTACAATATTTTACATAAATGGACCATTCCAAGTGGTGGCTGCTTATTTAAGCTATTATAGTACTCAGTAATTTATAGTAAATTATTTAGAATATACGTACGACGTGAAAGATATTATTTATATAATTAAATTCGTTAAATTAGACTGCCGTGTGGTTTTTGCATAGAATGAACCATATCTTCCTTTCCTGTGGGTGTCGTAGAGACGACTAAAGGAACTTAATGGTGGGGGATGGACAGCAGCGTCCCTCTTAAAACATCACTAAAAATTTAACTTTGGTTGCCGCTTGTCAAATGTGACAACTACTGGCAAAACACTCAAGGGCCTGCCCTTGTGTTCAGCAGTGGACAATTGAAGGAATTAAAAACTAAATTATTGATCCGACTTTGATAAAATAGCAAAGGGCCCAGTCTGTAAGCGTGTCCTTTTAGATAAAAAAAAAATCTCAAATTGATTTCCAACTCCTGATGGAGTTATGAGGTTGGAAACATAAAGAAAAAAATCTAAAACCGCACAGATAAACCCCTTTTTGAAGTCGCTTAAAAATAAAATTTCTTTAACGTGTTACGTGTTGGATGCATAAATTTTTTTGTCATATTTTGACCCATATTTATTTTTTATATTTCTAATATGCCTTTTATATATAATAACAGCTATCTGCGACCTTCAGAGGACCGTCAAGAAGAAGCACTATGGCGCGCTTGTAGCGAGGTCATATGGCGCTGCGCTGGTGGATTCAATGTTCAATCTGGAACTGAACCGACGGCTGTGGTTGGCTTGCCCACTGATCATACATACGTCCAGCATAGTTCACATTATTACCAGGATGGTATCACTGAAAAGGTATTTTTATTATATATACATTTCCATGTTTTATAAAAATAATATATATATATATATATATATATATATATATATATATATATATATATATATATATATATATATATATATATATATATATATATATATATATATATATATATATATATATATATATACGGTTAAATATGATATGATTAGTTAAGTTTGTCTAGTTTTTTTTTTTTTTTGCTTGTTACAATATTATGCATCGCTCTACCCGCTACCCGCTGACATTAATGCTCCTTTCCACTTTTGATTTGCTGGAAGAGAACTCTTTTAGAGTTGAGTTCGCCTCTAATTTTTATTATATATGACCTAACGTCATCCTCGTATTTTTATGTTTTATCAGTTTTTACAATAAAGTAATAATAAAATAAAATAAAAAATATATTAAATAATTATTATACAATTACAGCAATGCACAATTCTGTTTCAAGCTGCATTTGTTCGACTTCACGAGACTGGAAGATTTACAAATTTTCTTAAAGCGATATCTCTATTTGGTGAGTAAAATAAAGTGTAACATTTAAATTACTTTTATAAAGAAAAGAATCTCAATTTCTCTTGTATTGTTTTTTACTTTTTAACCGACTTTATAAAAAAGATCAATCTCAATTTCACTGATTTTTTTTTACATAATCGCACGTATAGCCTAGTTCTCAAGCTAAAGTAATCCATATGTGCTATGTGCGATTAGGCAATGAATAACTAGAAGCATCATTCATAACACACAGACTCGAGTCCATTCAGAAAAATTTCCAAATGGTCCTAACCGGGACTCGAATTTAAAACCTCATTTTTACGATAAGCAACGTGTCGATTGCTTGGGTACCTCTGTCCCATTCGTGTTTCAACCGTGAAGCAGTTGTGTTTACATGGCTTTGTTTTGGTTTAAAGAGTGGGATATGGTGTGAATTTACAAGGTACAGAGGAATAACACCTGAGTCCTCAGGAATGGCAACACATGGGGGGTATCATGGGCGAAACAGTATACTCTGTTATGTCCATGGTACTGCTCATGTCTATAGGCGACGGTTACCACTTTCCATCAGGTGGGCCGTCAGCTTGTTGCCATTCTAAGTTGTTAATTAAAAATATTTATTATGAGAATGATCCTATATCTACTATTCTACTACAACGATCTTGGTTGTGTATTAATAATATAATAATAATAATAATAATCTTTATTTCAAACAGTAGATTACATAATTGATTAACAACGGTCCCCATATGGGTCGAGCCTGTATCTGGGGAACCTATTAACTAATATGGATAAATATAATTTTAATATAAATATATATAATAATTTGTAATAGTTTGTGTGTGTAGTTGTGTGTGTGTGCGTCTGTGTGCGTGTGTGTGTGTGTGTGTGTGTTCGTGCGTGCGTGCGTGCGTGCGTGCGTGCGCGTGTGCGTGTGCGTGTGCGTGTACGTGTGCGTGTGTGTTGTGCGCTTGCATTTCAATAAATATTTTAGAAAACAGGTCTTATCAGATCCTCTGTATGCACATAAGTTAGAGATTGCAGCCAATTACGTATTTTTAATTTTGCTTCTTTCACTGAACATCGGATAATTTTACATTTTTTTAATATTATATTATAAACATAGGGAAACATGAATAGTGGTAAACGGGAAGCGAAGTAGGACTTCACACAGGTTTGGTGTACAGTAGGGTTTCTTTTTTCCATCAGCCTGGGATAATGCGGACTGTTAATTGTGGAGCGATGCATTACTAAGGACACCCTAAGGATGTAAAGTTGTCGCACACTCAGAACGTTGGATTCCTTATATAGAGCAGTCGTAGAATATCTGAAGGATTTCTTTAACATCACCTTTAGCACTGATCGTTGGGCTCTCTCGAGTTCTATTAATGCTGTTACTCCCATGCCACCCCATATCAAAATACAGTAACATATTATTGATTCGCATAGCGTAAGATACACTAATCGGAGAGTGCGTTTATCAGCCGAGTCACGTAGGAGTCTCATTACATAAGTAGTTTTTCTAACTCGCTTTGCAGTGTTGATGATGTGAGATTTAAAAGATAAATTTTCATCGATATCAATACCCAAATATTTTATTGTTCTTTGTCTTGTAATACTTTCACAAGTACAAAGATGACCAATGCATGTTACCTTGTGGATTTTTAAAAATTTTAACTGTTTTGGTTCCGAGGTACGAGATTTGTAAAAGCATAAAATTTTGGTTTTTTCAATATTTAACGTTAGAAGATTATTATCGAGCCAGCTACGTATGTTACTAACACCTATTTCAGCATTTTTTACTGTGGATTCCCAATTGTGATCACTAAAAATTACTGCTGTATCATCGGCATAACAAATGATATCTGCAGAAGGCAAGATTACATTGTGTATGTCATTCATATACAGAATAAAAAGCGTCGGACCAAGTACACTTCCCTGTGGAATGCCGAAATTAATGGATAGTTCTTCGCTCACAGATTCCCCAACTCTCAAACACTGACATCTATCGCTTAGGTAGCTATGAAACCATTCCAGAGCCATACCTCTAACACCGCAGCTTTCAAGTTTCTTCAAGAGAATAGGCACTGACACAGTATCAAAAGCCTTGGCGAGGTCCAAAAATACCCCAACACATTTTTTTCCGTTATCAAGTTGCTTAGAAATAAGATCTGTAAGCAACTTAACTGTATTTTCTGTTGACTTACTACGTCTAAATCCAAATTGTCTTTCACTGATTATTTTATTAATTTCAAAAAAGTCCATTAACCTTTTATTTACAATTTTTTCAAGTATTTTAGAGTACATAGTCAACAACGATATAGGTCTGTAGTTTTCTGGACAATCTTTGGGACCGTTTTTGTGTATCGGAATTACGAGCTTTTTTCCATTGTCTTGGAAAAATTCCATTTGATAGACTGAGATTGATGATATGAGTCAGTGGAACCACTATTTCTTTTCTAATTGCCTTAAGTAAGGTGGGCCTTAACCCATCTGGACCAGGAGCACTGTCATTCTTAAGCTGACATATGTATTTATCTACTTCATGAACGTCTGTTGGTTGCATATAAAAAGAGTGATTAGCGAAATTATTTATTTTAATATTTTTCACCAACGTGTCTTGATTTGTATTGTTTTTCATAAGTGAGTCTTTTGCCAATTTCTTCCCAATATTCGAAAAATATTCATTGCAAAAATTTAAAGACTCTTCTACGGTGGTTTTAATTTTTGTTAATTCAGTTGGAATAGTTTTGTTTGGAAATTCGGCTATTGTTTTAATTGATTTCCAGAGTCTCTTAGCATCATTTTTATTATTTTCTAACAGTTTTCTATTGTAATCCTTTTTTAATTTGTGTAAAATTTCAGAAAGGTAGTTCCTATATCGCTTATAAATGTGTTGACGTACTAAATCCTGTGGGTGTCTTTTTAGGTCATTGTGAAGTTGATCACGATGCCTCATACATCTAATGAGTCCTTGTGTAATCCAAGGCTTTAGTATAAACTTCGATCTACCAATTTGTTTACGTTTAGTGTGTTTGTCTATCACTTTGGAAATATTTTTTAAGAATGTGGCAACGGCTTTATCTACATCTGTTTCATTGTTAACTAAAGACCAGTCAACATCACGAAATTCTTTTGAGATACCAGTGTAGTCAGTACTAAGCAAAAATCTATTAGGGTCCTTTGTACGATTAATAGTTGAGCAGAGACCTAACATTGCAAAATCATGGTCTGTAACATCAGTTCTGCAAACCAAACCGAGAGCGATCAAGTTTCTAGACTTAATAAATATGTGGTCTAAACATGCATCGTTACGTGTTGATTTGGTAATAACTGGTATAAAATTTTGTTCAGTTAGTAAAGAAATGTAATCAGAATTACACTGATCAGACAGAATATTTATATTTATGTCTCCAGCCATTATTATTGTCGAAGTTTTCTTATAATTTTCAATTATATCACTCAGTGATGTAATAAAATTATCAATTATTCTGAAAGATGGAGAACGGTACAAACCAAGAACAACAATGGAGTTAGGCAATTCGATTGCAAGACACTCTGCTTCTGTAAACGATGGCTCTCGCACTGTGATACTCCAAGTGGTAAGTACGTAAGCTACAACGCCCCCATTCTTATTTAAATTATTTTTAGTTTTGTACGCAGTATAACCCTGAATTTGCCCCACTGGTTGATCTTCAGCAAGCCAACATTCGGTAAGTATAATAATGTCAAAAGTTATGTTTAGTCTAGCCAAAGCCACCAAGAATGAATCAAAATTATGATAAATACTACGAATATTAAAAGTTAACAATTTGAAGTTGTAAGCATTAGTCAATATATTACTACTATTTTCCAGTATTTCGCATTCGTGACATTTTATGCTAAATGTATCACAGATATCTGTTACTGTTTGTAATTTTGTTTCAGTCATTGTGAATGAGATAAGGGATAATTACATTTATTGAGTTTATTAAAATATTTATATATATGATATTTTGCATTGCAAAGGAAAAAGATAAACTGTATTTTACAACTAAAATATAACGCCAAGTATATTTCTGTATATATTTAGTATTCATGAAGTGATTATGTAGGTGGATGTGTAAGTGTGAGATTGATGAAAAATTAATGATCTGTATTGTATACATAATAAGAATTAATGAATATTGTATAAAAACAAAAGACTCAATCAAGAATGTAGGAGTCAATATAAATCGATATACAAGTTTTCCAAAAAATATTACCCTTACAAAATGGGAGCGAACACAACAACACACCATACCATTATTTTTGTTTCGATTCAGTGTATTGCACCTGCATTCCCGATGTTTCCATTCGCAGGTCGAGGTCTTCAAAACATCTGATATGGATAGCCGGCGCTCCGTTTGCTTTACGAATGAATATCGATCCATCACGTATCCAACAATATTGAAAGCCGCAGCACTGCGCGCGTGATCTGGCTTGGCGAAATAACTGACGATTACTATAAGTTAGGCGTTCATTGATATAAATTGTTTTAGGTGGTCCATCTACAATATTTTCAGTCGTAGTGTTTCGCCTAGCTTTTGCTGCTTTTAAAAGTTCCATACGTTTCCGTCTTCTCAACAGCTTTACAACAATAGGACGCGAAATTTTGTTTTTTGCTGCCGTTGAAGAAGCATCCAGGCGACTGTAACCAGCGCGGAATACGTGATCGAGGTCGGTGTCTGATATCTCAACACCAAACTTACGCATTGTGGTTATGGTGATATGCTGTAAATTTTCATTATCGTTTTCAGGAATTCCAACAATTTCAATATCGTTAATGATATTGTTTTGCTCTTGAATTGCAAGCTTTTGTTGCACTTCTGTAAGGGATGCTTTCAGGTGAGACATTTCTAAATCATTAGCTTCCAATTTTTTATTATATTCCGTTAGTTTTGATGTAATGTTCATAGACATTGCTGACAGTTCAGCCTTCAAATCTTTGACATCCTGATGAAGCTGCATAATGCTTAGATTTTGATCCTTTAAGTCAAGGACTTCTTTCTTTAGACAGCGTATTTCTTTTAAAAGAGTAGATATATTGCAGTCGCCTGCTGGACTAATATCGTTTTTAGTTTTTAAACGATTACCACGCGAAAAGGTAATATTTTCAGTAGTTGCACAAGCATTGTACGAGTTAGTAGTACTACAACGAACAGGAGTACTAGTATTATCTCCTTTAGGTATTGAGCAGACGCATGAAGGGCAGACCCATTTATTTTTAAACTCTTGGCTGAATCCAAGAAAATTTTCAGGTGTTAGATTTAAACATTGAAGATCATATAATTCTTTGCATGTGCAGCATTCCATATAATCTATTGTAAGTATATTTGAACCACAAGCGCCACATTTGATTGACATATTTAGTGTAAAAAATTACTTACGATGTATGCAGCTCGAATTTAAGTAATTCAATTACGTTATTTAGCAATTCAGGAACTGAGCATAGTTTGTTCATCCACAAAAAAGATAGATGGATGTCTGGATAATAATTTCTCCTGGAGGTGCAGAATGAGTTCCCTGCCTTTATGTGTAAATTTTCTCAGGTGATGACAAATGCCAATTTCTTTATAAAAAACTTAACAACAAGATCCGAATTCCGATCACAATGCAGTTGTACATTATGAGTTCGCGGGAAAAGGGTCGTAAGCGCCGGGCACAACGCGTCGCTTATGCGTTTCTATAAAACACTCCACAATTGTTTTAATGACGGTATTTTTACTTTATAGGTTCCAATTTTTCGTAGAAATATCTGTTTAAATGCACTTGTAAGTCAAAAATAGATATCACATAACACAGTTTATAGAATACACTTTTAATTTATCGAAAGTTTGAGGTGAATGTAGTTATTAGTTAATAATAAATGAATATTAAGACGCTGTAACTCGAACGTGATGTTTAATCGCCTCGATTCACCGTCAAACAGTCAAAATTATTAAATTAACACTGTCTCACTTTCTAATGGTTCTCAGTTCCATACTCGCGCAATACAAATATTTTAATTCATAGATACGTCTGATTGTATTTACAAAAAAAATACAATTATTAGTAGCGTAAGGGCACATGCAGTGTAGAACGAACGATCGAACTACACTGCATGTGCCCTTACGCTACTAGCACTAGACGCTAGAACGAACAATCCCTTCCCAGAAGGAAGGGGAAAGGGATTGCTAGCAATGGAGTTTGATAGTCCAATTGCTAGCAATTTGCCCTTGAGGTCGACCTCTACGTGGTTTCCCCCGGAAACCATCGTGAATAATTCTTGTTGAATTTGTCACGATGGACTAACTAACTCACTTATCATCCTTCACTGGTGCCCCGCTAGTGTATACCGCGCGAGTGAGGTTACCATTCTATTATCACCTATTAAACTCCCCCCCCCCGGCCCTCTAGTTGAAGTGACGACCTTGAATGCATTGCTAGAAGTCCATATATGTAGGTGGCTCAGAATCATTCCTTATGCAGTCCATGGGAGAGGCTTGTGTTCAGTACTGAACAGATGATGACTGATCTGATGACGACGATGATTGGTTGTCGTAGATGATTTAGTTAATAATTATTAAATTTTAAATAAAATAAATGCTACAAAAATTACGTTTATTTTTTACTAAAAATTTTATATATTTTTTTTTATACTACTTAGAATGCCAAACAAGCTAGCGGCCCACCTGATGGAAAGTGGTAACCGTCGCCTATAGACGTGAGCAGTACCATGGACATAACAGAGTATACTGTTTCGCCCATGATACCCCCCATGCGTTGCCATTACTGAGCACTCAGGTGTTATTCCTCTGTACCCAGTAAATTCACGCTATATCCCACCCTTCAAACCGAAACACAGCCATGTAAACACAACTGCTTCACGGTTGTAACACGAATGAGACAGAGGTACCCAAGCAATCGACTTTTGTACAAAGTCTCCCTCTGGTATACAATTATGATTAATTTTTCTTTTATGAATAATATTATATTAATTCCTAACAATCTGTTTACCACATGAAGTTTCAAACCGAAGAAGGATCGGGAGCTTTGCTTCTACTGTATGCCGTTGTATTGTCGAGAGGATGTGAGAAGTAAGTTAATATAATAACATACATACATATTTGTTACCGCGTGGTCCTGAAATAGAATGGGTCACCCCTTTCTTTTCCGTGAGTATTTTTTTTATACCACTGAGGTGGCAAACAAGCATACGGCCCACCTGATGGTAAGCGGTTACCGTAGCCTATGAACGTTTGCAATACCAAAGGTATTACGCGCGCGTTGCCGACCTTGAAGAAACCTCTTTACCCCCCTTTTGAAGAACCCCATGCTGTAGTCTCTTGGGAAAACCTCGGCAGGGAGCTCATTCCATAACCTGTATCGAAGGAGGCGACTAAGGGAACTTAACGGTTGAGAAATGGGCAGCGGCATCCCTATTAAAACATCATCAAAGCCTAACTGGGGTTGTTAACCTGTCTCTCAAGCTTGGCAACTATTGGTAACACAGTAAAGGGGGGCCTATGTTCAGCATGATGGTACATACATATTTGTCACGCCTGTCTCCCATTGAAGTAGGCAGAAACAATGGAACGCCAAATGCTTCGATTCAAACAAACCACTTTTGCTTCTTCCACATTTATCAATCTTTTCATACACGCTCGCCGGTTATGGATACTTTCAATTTGGCCCTTCTTCAGCACGTCGCTTATTTTTTTTATACAACTTAGAATGGCAAACAAGCTGACAGCCCACCTGATGGAAAAGTGATAACCATCGCCTATAAATATGAACAGTACCATGGACATAACAGAGTATACTGTTTCGCCCATGATACCCCCCATGCGTTGCCATTCCTTAGGACTCAGGTATTATTCCTCTGTACCCTGTAAATTCTCACGCCATATCCCACCCTTCAAACCGGAACACAGCCATGCAAACACAACTGCTTTACGGTTGAAACACGAATAGGACAGAGGTACCTAATTAAACGACTTTTGTACAAAGTCTCCATCTGGTCAGTCCATTCATTCGTGCTCAATAAATTTCTTTCGTAATTCTTCTTTCATCCATCCCATTAAAATTCTACTATTAATATGCATAACGGGAATTTTACGAATTTACTATATCTGGCATTTTTAAAATTGATTCGACTTTATCTGGAAGTCTTCTTCTTCATCTCGTATGGTGAAGGGTGAAGAAGGATATGATATGGGGTACCTTATACCAAGTCAGTGATCGTATCCCAGTTATACGAACGGAGTCGCGGGTAAAAGTTAGTATTATATAATTTGCATAACAATAAAATATAGAAGGGCATTATCCTCTGATCTTGTATTTATTTTTATAATGTCTCAGTAATATTAACGTTTCACGGAACGAATCATTAGCAACCTTCATAAATAAATCAACAATTAAACATTTTCTTAACAAGTATTCGTAATATTTTTGAATTTAATGACGAAATTTATCTTTTAATGATAAAAGTTTTAAGCAACAAAGTCATTCGAAGAAATAAGCAATTTTAAAAGAAATAATTATTTAAATACGACGCTAACTATAGAGGAAATAAAGTTGTCGTGTTATATTAACAAAATATTAAATGATTATAACATTGCAGTGTCAAAAAGGACTTGGATGGTAAATTGCCATATCTCGTGTCGGCACACGTGGAAGGATCCCTGAACATCGTGACTTTGCTTCTAACAGGCAGAGCTACTCCGTACCTCCATAACGGAGTGTTGTATGTCGGAGACGAGGATCATTATGTAAGTTTTTCTATCTGTAATTTCAACCGACTTCAAAAAGAAGGAGCTTCTAAGTTCGGTAGTAATTTTTTTATTACCTCATAACTTCATCAAATATAAATCGAAATCTGAAAGGATATACTATATATATATATATAGATTGGTCCCATAGATTTTTTATCAAAATAAGTTTAGTAGTTCGATCCGCTAAGCGTGAGCTGTAGGCGCATTTTTTGCAATTTCATTGTACAAGCTTTTTTTTTTATTGGTGAAAATGGTATGGTAACCCGGCCTGCACTAACGGAATACGCTGGCGGAGCACCAGTGAAGGGTGATAGATGAGAATGAAAACAAGCCAGTTAGCCCATCATGATGAATTCACAAGGAATTAACCATAATAGTTTCCAGGGAGAACCGCGAGGAGGTCGACATGGTTGGGTATATTGCTAGCAATGGGATTCTCAGTCTCCATTACTAACAATCCCTTTCCCCCTTGTACAATTATTTTGCTCTCGTCTTTTCTTCCAGGCTATGCCCCAATTCGGTATTTTGGGCCGAAGTCCTGTTGGCCTACTGGTGTGGTATGGGGGAGATGATAATGCGAAGAATAGCGACAACAGGCAGTATCCTGGGTCCAGACTGAAGACACCTGCAATGCCAATATGGGTACGCAAATTTAATAGTATCGATATAAGGACATTTCGACCGTGAATTACTAACACTGCGTATGTCAAAATGTGATACCTGCTATAGAAAAGAAATACAATATAAAAGTACTTCAATCGACTGCATTCCTTTTGCAATTTTCCAAAAAATACATTTTTCTGTTGTCTGCTATTCTTTTAATCACCTGACAAGAAATTATTTTTTATAAGAACTTTCTTTGAATTTATAATTATGTTACCACGTGGACGAATCACGTGACCCGAATATGGTCACTGGCTAATAAAGAAGCAACCTATATCCTTCTCCATCCTATATTTATTTCAAATTTCACAGTAATAGGAAATCATTATGGTACTTTACCATGTGTGTTCCGGCATGGAATGGGCCACCCCTTCCTTTCCCGTCGGTGTGGAAAAGGCGAGTCTTTGAAAGCGAGGGATAGGCAGCAGTCTCCTTATTAATACATCTGTAAAAGCCTAACTGCGGTTGCCAACCCGCCTGACAAGCAAGGCAACTACTGGCTAAACTTCCCTTATAGGGAAGAATTATGTCTAGCAGTGGACAGCTAACGGTTGAAATAATAATAATACCAACCGGTCTGGAACAACATCTCAGACGGTTGGGATTCCGAGGCGGCTCACTTCTGGGAATGATGCAGAAAGTGGTGCTCTTAGATACTGCCCGCATTGTACGCCGGTTTTTCTCTCTCTGGGCTCCTAAACCCCGGCCGACTGTGCTTCTGCCGGGGATTAGTTTGCCTTCTTCATCATGGTACTAAGAGAACAAACAAACTCACATTCATATTTATTATATTAGTAAGGATAATGCCTAATACTCACGTGTATTTCAGGTAACCAGCTGTTCTGGCCATTATGGCATACTGTTTAATACCAACCGGGAATTATTGAGGAATTATCATGCTGAGAGGAGGTATAAATCTTTTATGTATATATTGCCATGTGATCCTGGCGTAGAATGGGTCGTCCCTTCCTTTCTGTAAGTGTCGTAAGAGGAGGCTAAGGGAACTGAATGGTCAAAGGATGGGCAGAGGCGTCCCTCTTAAAAAAATACCAAAGCTGCCAAACAACTACTCGCAACCCACCAATCAGCTGCTTTTTCATTCTCACCTATAATCCCATACTGGCGTAAACCGTAAGCGCAGGTAGGGATTCCATTCCATTATCATTCATTAAAAAAAAACCAATTAATTGCCTTATGGGGAAGGCCTATGTTCAGCAATGGACAGATAATGACTGATATCATAATCATGATGTAGTAAAATGAAGTATCACTCAATATATCTAAATAATTAAGAAAGTCGGCTCAAAATTGTCCAAGATATTGCTGAATATATAAAAAATACAGTGGAGAACTTTAGTACCTCTACACCCTTTGGGGAACGTCTAAGAACATAGATTAAGGATTATTGATGCTCTTTACCACTTTGGGGTTGCTGGACAAGAACTCTTGCGGAGTTAAACTCACCTTTGTATATTCGATTCTCACAGCCATGTTTATGTATGTTTTATTATTGTATACAAAAAGGTTCAAAAAATAAATAAAAATAAGTACTATCCTTTCTGGCTGTCTCTTTTTACGCCTAAAAAGCTCGTTGACAGACATCTTGGAGTTATTTTTTACAGATTTGACATCCATTACTACACCTGCGGTGGATGTCATGTGCTTCTGAATGTGGATACTCGAGCGCACGATGACTCCTCCGGTGTGTTGAGAAACGATGATATCAATGCTACACCCCTTGAAAAACTTATACATACGAAGTAAGTGATTCAACTAAGGTTTTTTTTTATACAACTTAGAATGAGAAACAAGCTGATGGCCTACCTGATGGAAAGTAATAACCGTCGCCTATAGACATGAGCAGTATCATGGACATAACAGAGTACACTGTTTCGCTCATGATATCCCCAAACAATAAAATTGTTTTATTTTGCAACGAAGATGGGGGCACTAATAAGCTTTTGTCGACAAATGGCTCTCATAGGTATCACATTGACAGAAGTATGAGCGGCAAATTCAAACAACCAGCAGTTTTAAGAGCACTATACGGTTTTACCCCGGTATACGGGTTTGGACGGGTCTACCCTACAAAAGTCATCTGGATGGATGTAGTCTCCTTCTGATAGATTATACAATAAATAAATAAGTTGAGTTAAAACACACAAAAACACTTAAATCCTGACATCTGAAATCACCACACAATATCTGTTATAGCTGTCTTCCGTGCTCCGTTTGTGGGAGTAACTCCTACATTCGAGATTAAATTCCATCTGTCCTAACCGGAACTATAATTGACTTTAAAAGTTTTTAAGTCGAAAATCACAGCTTTTCCTCGAGTTCGTAATAGTGATGGCCCTTTTTTAATTCGAGTATTTTGATACAAGTTTAATAATGGAATCCGGACTCGAATTTGAGGTCTCAGACAGGCACTCAAGTTGATTCGAGTACTTTCTCAGACTTACTTTTATTGAGGCAACTTCGCCTATCGGGGTATTTATTACGATTTACTATTCAGTAATATATGTCTTTCTCTATCCCAAATAGTACTGGTACATACTAAGTTTCATAACGATTGGTATAGCTGTTAAGATGTTATGAGGTTATGAACAAACTTACTTTCACATTTATAATATTAAAATGTTGCTTTTGGTAAAATTAAGGGAAATATAAATTAATCAATAAAACAGAAAACAAACCTTACGATAAACATGCGACTAGTATTCGAGTAGCTCAATTACTCGAACCCTGTATTTGATGTTCGTGTGTTCGAGTTCCGTATATTGAACACTCGAGTACATATTCGAGTCAGCCCGACTCGGCACATCACTAGTTCATAATATTATTTTTGCAGATGGCAAGACGCGAAAATCACTTGGACGGGAAACGCTCCATATGTCGGCGAACCGCCAAAGTAAAACATTATCATATTTTGATTAGATCCCTCCGAATATCGCTCCATCTGTATTTGTTGGCAATTATATAAGAATATAACGGTGTTTGTTTTATATCCAGTATTGCTATATTTGTATTATTTGCCAGATAATTTGGTGTATAGATAATGTTTTCTCATCCAGAAAATAGATGGCTGTATCCCCTTTGACGTACTATTTACTATTTACATGTATATTTTAGCAGTTATACATCTATTAATGTATCTAATATATCGCCGATATAAGTAGTTATATAAGGAATATTTATATTATATGATTTGATATATAATTTAGTCTTAGATTATGTATGTAGATAGAGTGTCTCCATACAAATGCTTCAAGAAAAATGGGTAATTTTTTTTATACAATTTTGCGTGATAAATATTTGTAAGTGATGCCTTTATAACTTCTATATTTATTTTGTTTTAAAATTTTTAAATCTTTTTAATGTGTAAAACCCGTTTTATTTATTTAATAATTAAATATAGATACGTCAAGGTACATAATATGCGTTAATATATAGAACAATAATAAAAAAAAACGTTGAGCCGTTTTAAAGGCTCGATGCTCTATCTGTAGTAGATGTTATGTTGTCAAAATTTTGTAGTTAAAATCTTTGTATTTTCACGTACTTTGAAATGGAGACCATATATCGGCAAGAGCAATGTGAGAGCAAACTTTACCATATATATAATATTAAATATATATATTTTATATTAGATATTATATATACTACAAAACTATTCAATGTTTTAAACATAATTAATTAAGCAATTATGTTCGCAAACTATCACGAAAATAAAATGAAAATTAATTATTTTCATTTATAAATTACTTTCATGTATTCACTTTGATGTTTACTAATAAAGTTTATAATTGATGTGACTGACATTAAGTTTCAAAAGTTAATACCAATAATTCAGTTAATGATAGCTTAAATAGTATATTAAGAGGCAAATTGCAATAAATACTATATAGACCATTTGATAATATAAATATATAATATATAATTAGGTCATACAGAATTATATATTATTTTCAAAGACACAGGATAAAAAAAATATTTATTTATTTATTGTATTTTACAATTATTAATATTTTTACAGGTACTAATCTATTTTAATTTTATAACAATATATACATATATACCACGTACACATGTATGTATACACACATATACACTAGCATACACATACATATACACATCCATATGTATATATTGACTGTTGTAGCTAATTACATAAAGGGCTATCTTTATCAATTCGTTCAGAGAATAATTAAATGAGTCAATTGTATCTGTTAGTCGGGTCAGTGTCCGCAGAGCTCATAATCTCCATCCCATATAGTACCTTTTTTTATACAACTTAGAATGGCAAACAAGTTGACGGCCCACCTGATGGAAAGTGGTAACCGTCGTCTATAGACATGAGCATTACCATGGACATAACAGAATATACTGTTTCGCCCATGGTACCCCCATGGGTTGCCATTCCTGAGGACTCAGATGTTATTCCTCTGTACCCTGTCAATTCACACCATATCCCACCCTTCAAATCGAAACACAGCCATGCAAACACAACTACTTCACGGTTGAAACACGGATGGATATGTAATGTATATGTAATGTCATAGTAATTAGTTAAGCCGTTAAAGCACCAAACGTGACAAACAAACAGACTCACTTCTACATTTATAATATTAGTAAAGATTTTATCTTTTGTCCATCCATGTGGTCCCGGTATACTCGTAGAACAGGCCACCTCATCCTTTCCTGTGGGTATTGTAAGAGGAGACTAAAAGAGTGCGAGGGATGGGCAGTAGCGTCCCTTTTAAAACATCTCTAAAAGTCTAACTGCGGTTGCAAACTAACTGGCAAATCTCCTCTTATTGAGAAAGCTTATGTTTAGCAGTGGACAAATAACTGCTGAAATAAAAAAAAAATCTTCTACATACTTACAGCTAATCTGTAAAAATTGATTTAGAACTCAAAAGTCTTAAAGTTGAGCCATATTGTATTTTTAATTTATTCTTACTAGTTTAAAAAAACTGTCTTTACTTTTCGAAATTTTAACTAGTTTTGTGTATTCTACGTGGTAGACAATGCAATAGAATATGGTTTTATATAAGCTTATCTAGGGTATAAAAGAAGCGAGATAGTGGCACATTTTTCTAATTTCATTCTAAGCTTGCTAGCAATAGAATACAACTATATATTTTCTAGATTATGTAAGAATATTTGTTTAAAGAGAAATAATACGACGATCAGATACGTAGATAGATAGACACTCTTTATTCTTTTCTCCAAAAGATTACAGTAGCAAACTTCTTATAGATACAAACAATTACAAGAAATGATCACACTGAAAAATCAATAAGCGGCCTTATGATGTATACGAGTACATAACTGAGATATGGAGTAATAGATTAAGTGTAATTATTGTGATATTTAACCAATATATATATATATATATATATTATATATATATATATATATATATATATATATATATATATATATATATATATATATATATATATATATATATATAGTCTGATTTTTTTTCTTTCGTTACTCGACTACACCGTTGATTCTTAACCGATTTTCACATTTTTTTGCAGTCAATGTTATTTCATGTTGATCTTATTTAAACATTTTGACGATTCATTTTTCTTTACGTAAAAAAAAATTGGTTGTTACGAAGCAAAATCTGTATGTAAACATGCAATATTTACAGTGTAAGGTATTTACAGAATATCTCGTTATTTGTCGGTGCGTTCGCAATCGAAGTCGCATTTGAATCGACTTCAAAAAGAAGGAAGATTCTCAATTCAGTGGTACTTTATTTATGTTTATTACCACATAACTTTATCATATATAAATCAACTTGGATTTTTTTTTTATGTAAAAGGATATACTTACAGATTGGTTAAATAGGAAAGTATACAAATTTTGTTAAGAAACAGTTCAGTAGTTGAGTTTTTAAATCAAAACACAACACACACACAAATGAAGTAATTTTTTTTGGAGACACAATTTTTAATTATTTGCAGTGAAATGTATACTAGTTATGACTTTGTTATTAGTACCTATAGTTATGATACATATAAAATATTTGATGTGCTAGATAGTTTGTAGTAAATATATTTATATAAATAATACGTTGTATTTTTCTTTTCTTTTTGTAGCTCTGTGGCTAGTGCCTGTTGTGGTAATGCTTATTCAATATTAAATGTGTTTTTTTAATGAGTGAAAATGAAATGGTAACCCTCGTCCTCGCTATCGTTATACGCAGGTGGGGCACCAGCGAGAGATGATAGGTGAAGATGAAATCAGGTCAGTTGGCTCATCGTGTCGAATTTCAAAAGAAATAAGTCGCAATGGTTTCCAGGTGGATCCGCGTCGAGGTCGAACTTATAGGGTATATTGCTAGCAACAGGTCTATTACACCCCATTACTAACAATCCCTTTCCCCCATATTAAATGTGTTAGATACTATGTAGTAAATCGTCACGACTTTGTCACTTGTATCTGTTGTTGGGATATTTAACCAATATGTACTATCAAGTATATTTATTTAAGTAATAATTATATTATATTTTTAATTTTGTGACTTTGTAACTATTATCAATTATTGTAATTGTTGTGATTTTTAACCAATATTAAATGTGTTAGAGACCGTGTAAAAATGTGTTTTATTTTTTATGATTTTATGTACTTTGATTGATAAAGCTTGTTAATTTTTCAATATGGGGCTTTTCAAAAATACGTACCTACAAACATTTAAAAGATTATACTCCTAAAAGTCAACTTAAAATTTTGTGTATTATTTATTTTGATGCGCCATCTAGTATTAGTCTATTTCATTAATTTTCCCAACACAAAAACCACCCGTTAAAATCACTGGTTGAAACCAGTTCTATAATATCTATAGAATATAATGACATCTAAATCATATAAAGTAATCTAGTCCCTTTTATCCCAACCTCAGCAAATCTGTTTAACAAAAAATCGAACGACAAATGACCAATTTCATACGAACGCCGCTACAATAACAGAGTACGTATCTGTCGATTACGCAAAAAATCCACCGGCTAAGGTGTCGTAGCGTTGGGTTTTGACACGAGTATGACAAATTGCGTTCATTGATAGATTTGTCAGGGCCGCCATCTATCACTTTAACGATCCAAGATTCTTATCTGGCATTAAATCTAAATTGATCCGGAAACGTTTTATCGAATATAGATTATGTTAGATGATGCATTGTTTATGCTCTCCGATAGACTGTTACCTGTATGCATGGCTTCATCCGCATGACTAAGGATTTTTTTTTTCATAATAAATGCCACAAATCAATTTCAGTGTGTCGTCTTTGGATAGAATGGGTCACCTCTTCCTTCACTACGGGTGTCGTATTTTTTCTTTATACAACTTAGAATGGCAAACAAGCTGACGGCCCACCTGATGGAAAGTGATAACTGTCGCCTATAGATATGAACAATACTATATGAGGTGATTAAGGGAACTTAATAGTCGGATGAACAACAGCGTCCTTCTTGAAAATGAAAACTTGACGTATGAAAAACTAGACCAACTTTTATTTTTTCTTTTCTCTCTTTTCTTTCTTTTCCTGGAAACACTCTATCTGTATAATCTAAGTTTTACACTTAAAAACTATTAAATGTCATTTCGTTAGCTTTTACGTTGCAAAGTATATCAAAGGCTTCTCAGCTGTCACCCCTATCCTACAACAATGAACAGAGTACCTATTATTATTTTTAAAATTTATGTCCAATTTTAACTATATCTATTTATATGTATAACGGGAAATTTTATGAACCTACTGTGTTTATCATTTCCGACGACATTTCGATTTCATCCGGAAGCCTTCTTCAGGGTGTGTACATGGCTTTGCGTCACAAATTCTCGTCTCTCACTGCAGGATGTAGCTGGCAGAGCCCGAAGAGACATCGGTGCAAACGTGGGTGAGGCGGAAATAGGGATCGCAAAAGAGAATGTCGCTGTGGGAGATAAGCTGTATCTATGGTAATTGCAGTCGACTGCGAAGCACTCTAGTTATCGTCGCTGCTGTTTTAATTATCTCTTGCTACCACTATCTCTGCTTCTATCCCCGTTCATACTAACATCCTCACGAGCTCTACAAATTATTGCTCGCAGCGCGAGATGAGACGCTGTGACTTAAAGCACCGTACTGCCTTTGAAAAATATTTTCCGGATAAAGTCAAAACAAATGTCGGAAACGACAAACGTAGTAAGTTTATAAAATTTCTCGTGATATATGTATATAGACATGTATATAGACAAAGTATTATACGTAATATCGTTGCAGCGTTTATTAAATAACATATTGCTCTATATATCAAAGATAACGTAGAGCGAATAAAACCGTTATCTCAGATACAACACAAGCAAGCCAGCAATCTCTCCCTTTCACTGGGAACACAATAGAGCAGGGTATGCGCTCTCGCCAATAAATCATAACTGTAAACCGATATTATCGTTCACGAAATTTGTCCGTAGTACCGGCCTAACTATCCCTAATTGCTTGGTCAGTTTAGATCTCTTTTCTAAAATCAACTTGAAGAGCTTTGTGAGCGCAGTAGTTTAATTTTTTGTCTACATTACTGGCATACGATTCATCTGATAGTAAATAGTTACTGTATCTTATATATTGTGTAGTAACTAGTCACATATATAAATGGATTAATTTGTTTGTTAATTTTTTTCGGTTTTAACAAGAGACTACAACATGGGGCCCTTCAAAAGGGGGTAAAGAGATTTCTTTAGAGTCGACAAAGCACGCGTAATACCTCTGGTATTGCAGGCGTTTATAGGCTATGGAAACCGCTTACCGTCAGGTGGGTCGTATGCTTGTTTGCCACCTCAGTGGTATAAAAAAAAGACTTTCTCCTTTCGGGTTCTCAAGGTTGACTGAAAGAAATCCCTTTGAAGGATAAGACCATCTATGTACATTGTCGTTTTCTTTATAACCCGATATTTATATTGTAAATGTAAATGAGACCCCCATTTCAAGTGTACACAAATAAATAAATATAATAGTCATAATACCTTGGAAACAGAAGTACCTGATGAGGGAAACCAGGAAGGACAAATAGCAGATAATAATGATACAGGATATATGAAAATATTGTTTACCATTCTAAGTTGCATAAAAAAATACAACTGGGCTATAAAACTTCTGCTTCTTTGAAGTCGGTTAAAAAACCGATATTTAGTCTGTTCAATAAAGACATAGCTCCTTGGTTCGCCCCTTTTGACAAGATCGACAGTAAAATTTTATTCGTAGAACTTTCAACAATTTATGTCCAGTTTTGTGTATTGGAGGCAAACGATAATTGTTTTAGGGTATTTTACAACTGCAATGCTGTAAACTGATACAATCAAACGGCCAATAAAGCGATTATTCGGGTCAAATACTTTGAACAGTATCTGTTTTGAATATTTCAGCCGACTTCGTAAAGAAGGAGGTACTCAATTCGATTGATTTCTTTTTATGTTTGTTTTACCTCATAACTTCATCAGTTGTAAACCGATTTGGAAAATTATTTTTTTATTTGAATGTATGTATTTTCTAATTGCATTCATAGAAATTTTATCAAAATCGGTCTAGTAGTTTAGTTTCCGAATCAAAATAATTGGTATTGTCACAATTGAAATCGGTTTTTTTGGGGCACAGTTTTTAATTATTTTAAATTGATTTAAAAATCAGTTTCCCAATTCGACCAATATTGATTCGGTATACTCCCGTATTAGTTGTATACTTGGATTATATAGATAAAGTGTCTCCATAATGCTTCGAGAAAAATGGGACAACTTTTTCATACAATATTGCATGATAAAAAGTTATGAGTGGTTCCTTTATAACGTTTATATTTATTTCGTTTTATAAATTCTGCATATTTTAATGCTAAAATTAGTGTTTATACTAATTTTATTTATTAAATAATACATCAAGATACATTTTAGGCGTAAGCACTCGTATATAGAATACTGATAATAAAACAAGTCAGCTAATTAGTTGACAAAAATTGACCTTTTTTTGAGGCTTGGTGCTTTTAAATAGTACCTACAAACCTGCTTCTTTATTGCCGACGTTTCGAAGTGGATTGCACCACGTCGTGGTCACAACAGGACAGTCCTGTAAAGAACGCAAAAGTTTCAAATCGACTTTCGATCGATTTCAACAGTAGAAGTGTTATTTAACTCTATTTTTTTACTTCTTTTTTTTACGCGATTTTATTGCCAGTTATAATATTTTTCGATTCTTATTTAATCACAACGTTTTACTCTTACGTAGTTCTCGTACTATTTGTTTCAAAATTGTTACACTTTTTCTTCTTACAAATACCTAATTATAATATACTATATGACCTTATGGACTTTGTATCACCTACAACGCCATCTATTAGAAGTAATC